TATATATTAGTCCCACATACAAATATCTAGAATACGCGTTTTGGATTCTACAATTCCGAAGCTTGTTTTTACCTTCATTCCGAACTTATTTTCAACATTGATTCGTCAAACCAAGTGATTTCTACTCTTTAAATTACTTGCATTTGAGTTTTGAAACAAATAGACTTATTCTAGAATGCGATGAACACTTTGGAATACGAAGAACGAGTCCGAAATATCCAATATTTGTATGTTTTTTTGTTGTACATGTATGAGGTGCATGTAAGTATCTTATAGTGTGTTTAGGACCATTTTTTTTAGTCCGGAACTATGTTTTCTAGGGAATCCGAAAGGTTCTGTAGGTCCGGAATGGAATACGAAGATCATGGTCCAGAATGATGTTCCGGAATACGAAGAACTTGGTCTAGAATAATGTTCCGGAATGAGAAGCCGAAATGATAATTGATTATTAATTTTTTTGGTTCCTGACATTGTTTAATAATCTCTATTAGTCCAAATACGAGTTTGCGTGGATGTTGTTAAAAAAAAGTGGGCTTTACGGACCAAGAAGTTTTATTCCATTTACATGAGCTTTCAAAATTGCACCCAATAATGGTAAAAGCGAATAAATTTTGTTAAAATTGTTGATTTTATGGTAATGTGTATTAAAATGTAGTTAGAATTTTGTTTTTGCAGATAACAAATCAGGATGCTAATTTAAAAATTAAAAAATAAATAAATAAATAAACCAACAAAGGTACCTATAAAATTAAGAAAGAAATCAGAAAGGGTGTTAAAACTTAAATTGAAAGCAAATAGAACTCTGAAAGATGGGACCGGAGAAAGTTCAGACAAACTTGTTATTATAGACTAGTTGCAATGTCATTATATTTTTTATGGTTATGTTTCAGCAAGTTGGTTTTATTGTTGGATACGTTTATGCAAGTCCCTGTTTTTAATGTGTATGTTAATATATTTAAAAAAATTCGGTCTCCAACATCAAGTGACTCGATCAATGAGGATGAGTTTCCAATAGAATATGATATACTACGTCTTGATGAAGAGCAACAACGTCTTGTTGATACGACTACATTAGAGTTCATTCGTGATTAGCAACATGCGAAACAACGAATGGTGATACTGAAAATTCCATTACCACCTTCTGCGGCCGAGGAGCGGAGAAAACTAGCATTGTATAATATGCAAATGCTTCTCGTTACGATGTCTGGAGATATATGACAGTTTGTGAACACAATAGACCTCATCGAAGAAACGTGTAGGACAACTCTAACAATAGAAGATCGAGTCCAACTGACAGATAATGAATTGAGCCTAATTGAAACCTACACAGAATTGTTTGAAAATCATGTAGACACCGCTAGTTTGCACCGGATGCAAGTTCCCGGTTATTCTGGAAATGTGATATAAAATTTTAATATTTTAATGACTTTTGAAACTTAAATATGTAAACGAAACGATAGGGTTATCTAAAATGACAATGTTTTTCATTAACATTCGTACAAATCCTAATACATATATTGGTTTCCAAAAATTAGGAAATTGTAAGAGATACATATTTTGTTCACGGTCAATAAAAACTCCTCTAATTCTAACATCTGTTAGACGATCCCTTTCCACACGAAGCTTATCAATCTCAACATTTACATGTTGAATCCACTTCTTAGCTTCTTTGACATTTTTCATAGCTTCAGTAACCCAGTTTTCTTTTTCGTTTACTTGTTCCGCTAGATCGTCTACATGTTGATTTAGTTTTTGACTTGTTTCAGAATCCCTTTCGTTTTCTTGCTCAGCGGCCTTCATAACTTGGAAAATGTCATCATGCATTTTATCCAATAGTGGGAAATCAGGGCCTTCCAGAAACGAGTTAATATCTGAACAAACAGAACAAGCTTCTTATTTACAATGACAAACACGAAACTCAGATGAACTCATTCTCAACTTATTTCTACGTTTACGATGAATGGTAGGTACATATTAATAGTCTAAAATGCCATGTTCGGAATAAGTGTCCGAAATGTAATGTCCAGAATCTTTGTCTCCGGAATACGATATTCGGAATGTGTGTCCGAAATATGCGTCTGTGACTCATATTCGCCAGGAATCTATGACATATATGATTGATATGACTTCCGGAATGTCATTCGTAACTGTCAGTCCGGAATGGAATTCAGGAATCCGGACTGAACTACTATAAATAAGAGACTGGAATTGTAGAACCTTTAGAACTCCAGAATTGTAAGACTTTTAGAAGTCTGAAAATGGAAGTAAATCAACCCGAGCCATAGACTATACATAAAGAGATCACGCTCGTTCAGTCTTGGGTAATAATTGAGGATAATATCACTACAAGAAAAAAGGGTATCAGAGACGGACATAATCAGTCCTTGATGGTCAAGAATCAATCTATGGTGAGAATCAGGGACTGATTTAGCTAGTCCCTGAGACATAGTCTTAGATAATTGATTTTTTTATTTATTTGAGACTGAAAATCAGTCCTTAATGCATCAAATTATCAAAGACAGAAAATCAATCTTTGATACTATCTTATTTAGTTGCTAATGTGTTTTCTTCAAATTCATGATTTTATGTCATATTAGTCCCTGATACTATCTTTTGGGGACTGAATATCGGTCCATGATACTACACCATTCAGGTAACAATATGTTTGATGTAAATTTGTCTTTTATGTCACATTAGTCCCTAATACAACCTTTTAGGGACTGAATATCAGTCTTTGATACTATCATGTCCAGTCTCCAATGTATTTCTTTCGAAGATCCACTTATATTATATTAATCCTCGGTACTATTATTTTAGGACTAAATATCATCCTTTGATACTATCTCTTTTAGTCCATCATAAGATTTTATAATGACTGGATATCAGTCTCAGATACCATGTCATTTAGTCTCAAGTATATTTCTTTTTGGACAGACTAACACTTACTAATATCGGTTCATTTTCAGTCCTTAATATGTGTTCACCAGGACAAATATCCAACCCTTGATACAAACTTTTAGTAATAGCAACTAGTTGTACATGATACAATTTAAGACTAGATTCAAATCCCTAACTAACTATTATAGCTGCTAAAATATGGAATCAAATTGTTCTAAATATATGAATTGAACTCGTATTAAATAAATGAATCGTAATTTAGATATCATCATATCCAAACTTTAAACAATAAACCAAAAGACTAACTAACAAGCCAATAACTAGACCATATATGAAAAAATAATGAAAGCTCATGTCTACGACTTTTCCTCTGATAAATTTGTTATTCCGCCGTGCATACCATCTTCATCTTTATCACCTAGGCATATTATATTCTGAAAATCTAGGAATAATCTACACATAGTTCATTACCTTACTAAAAACGTACTTGTATCACGATATTTCTTTATTCTATTAACAATTTTAATAACATTCATTCTCTTTTTTGTTGTCCCAACACTCCAACACTTGGAAAAATGTCCATGGATCAAGAAAATATCAAAATAAGTAACCGAAACATTACAAAAACTATTTGTTATCAATTAATTATCAAAAGATACTTACCTTCTCCCATTTATCATGAATCTTATATGCAACTTACAGAAAAACAAACAAAAAGTAGAATCAGATCATTGAAAGTACATTTCTATTTGTGGATGAAAAAGAAACTAACGAGAGCATCTAGGTTATACGTATATATCAATATGCATGAAAGCCAAGGATAATTTGGGTATTTGGTTTACCAATATTTGAAGACAATCACATTATTCATAATATATAGGTATATTATTAAATAAAAATTATCCCAAAGTTATAATGCTTCCTTGGCGGATAAAACAAATTGACATAATTCAGTTATGCAAAAAGTAACAAAAAACTTACAATATTGTCGTGTATATCCCACTATAATCTTGCTCTTTTTTGTACCTACTCAATAATATGAGATACAAAAGCATCAATTACTAGTAATAATCAATAAAAGAAAAAAAAATATAGATGAATGGTACATCACAAAGTAAACAAATGGTTTATTCCTAATTATTGTTCCCAAGAACCATATAAAACTCTTCTTTGAACCCACAGTCCCATTATATCAAATTAATCAAATTAACTCATACAAATACCAAATATTTGTATAAAGAGGAGAACTTTATATTCCTAAACATGAATTGAGAAAATAAATGAGTTTCAACAAGATTTTTGCTCAGGGTAACATGTAAAAAAAATAAATAATATGCTAAATGATGTTTAATTCAACCAATAAAGACAAAAAAATCCAAACCAAAATCTTACCTCGTAGACAGTGATGGTGGTGGTTATTAAGAGAAAAGCATGTAACCTACCTGGTTTAAAATCACAAAATAAAAACAAAAATATGGTTAAAAATAGAGGAAGATGGAGAGAGAAAGAGAGGAAAGGAGGAACGTAGAGAGACAAAGAAGTAGCAGTCGGATCTAGAATTAAGAGTTGTGAACGACCATAGTAGGTGGTTGAAAGTGGTGTTGAGTGTATGTTTTCGGTGGATGTCTAGAGATAGGGTAGGGGTTATTGTAGTGATGGAGAACGATACATATAGGTGGTTGTTATATAGTTCTAGATTAAGAAGTAAGGAGAAGAGTGTCGGAACTCGAAAACAAGATCGTCAATTCATAATGAGATGAGAAATGGTTATGAACCCTTAATGTCTTCTAGTTGGCTGAAAAAAGGCTAACTTTTGAAAAAACAACTAGAGATTTGGTGTTGGTGTGTTGATTATCTGGTAGACATTGAGAAAAATATTATGAATTAGAGTGAGAAAACATGAGGGTTAATACCTAGGGGAAAATGACTTAAGATGGTAACTACCTCTTATGTTTGTTCACAAGTTGGCAACTTTTTCTGTACACATATATCCAACTAACTTGTTTTACGTGTTCACATTACACCATTATTACCGGCTATCACATGTTTTAACTGGTTGCCTCAAATTACCTCAATTAAAATCGATTACGTGGCATCTTACGTGTTCATTACACCTCCTTTCTCCTTTAATTAAGGTTCTTTAGTGCAACTTACTCCCAAATCATTTCCCTATTATAATGTTATTGGAAATAAATCAATTGAAGAAGTCAGAGCTTAGGGTTTTCAATTGAAGCAGGGATTTGAAATCGTCGACTGTAACATGTTAGAATCATCTAACGGTAGGTATATTATAGTAGATTTTCATTAAAATGGCTTATTTTCACCAAACCTGTAGTGGATTTTGCAATTGAAGCAGGGGTTTGAAATCGTCGACTGTAACGTGTCAAAATCATCTTACGTTAGGTATATTATAGTAGATTTTCATTACAATGGCTTATTTGCACCAAACTTGTTAGTATACTTAGACCCTATAAAAGTGTCAGTTCGTGATGTGGATTTTGGTGGCATGAGCTATAGAGAATTTGTGTTGTAGGTTACAAAGCTGACAAGAGGAAGTCGTGATAATTTGTACTATTGTAGTAGACATGAAATACTGACATGAGGTATTATAAGAATCGATAATGATGCTAATTATTTTGAGTTTAGTAAAGATGGTTACAGTCCTAAGAATGAGCTAAGAATGAATGTATACATGGACCACCAAAATGAACCTAATCTTGACTGGGCTGACAAGGAGGTGTTAATAGGTGATAAAGTACCTGAATTGGATGAAGATGATGAGCCAAACTCACATATTTCAGATATCATGACATATGAACATGAACCTGATGAAGAGGTGCATACTTTTGAGAAAACTCTTGGTGATGAATTTTTGAACAAGTTGTCAGGTAAACCCATTCCTAATACTAATGAAGAAGTAAATGATGATGATGAAGCCAATGATGAAGTTGATGAGGCTGTGTTCCTTGTCCATGATGAGAATCAAGAATAAGATAAAATGGTCCGAATTTTAGGTATGAAGTTTTCCAACCCAACTAAATTGAAACTATGTCTATTTCGATGAAAACCTTCAACGAGGATGCAAACAACGTATAACTGCCAGAGGCTAGACCTGCTTCCCAACACTCTCCTACATGCGTTTTCTATTATTCACAACATCCATCACCCCTTTTTAACTATCTTTGACAACCTCGGGAGATACATCGACAGACCCATAATTACCCCCACCGGAGACTTCATGAAGAACCACCTTAGGAGCATTAGTACTCGATGACCCACTAGCAAGACGCTTAGCCTCCTGGACAGTGTAACACCGTGTTTCGAATCATTTCATAATTATAGGCCATGACCCGAATATCAATCATCATAAGGCTTTGGGTCTTGGGGAAAGAGATATTTATACCCATTTGGTTGTAGATAATGTAGGTTGTGGGCATCGAGAGTTTGGTTTGTGATTTGGAGCTCACGAGTATAATAGTAAAGTGATGGTTTAGGCCTTTCATTAATTTTGGATTTAAGTTTGGAAAGCTTTAAGGCAAAGGAGAGTTGATAGGATTATAGAGCTTCTTATTACCTTTCCATGGATATAAGGATAATCGAAATCGGAGTTAGAATGAAGAGTTTATGGCCTTCAGAAGTTAGGAGGATTATAGGTTAGTATAGTATGATGGGCGTACAGAGGTGTACGTTGGGCGTACTGGACTAATTGATTGCGGATGCACCTGGAGTACGCTGCGCATTCTCAAGTCAGGTTCAAACCCTAATTTAGGGTCTTGGACCATATTTAAAGACCTTAACTCATTTTCAAACCCTCTTATCTTCAGCCTCCATCCCATTTAACCCTAAATTTGAAACCCTAGCCTCTTTTGTGTGAATTACATGCCTTGGTGTGATTTTTGGTGTGCCTTGGAGAAGGAGATCTTGTAAGAAGAATTGCTTGGCTTGAAGCTTGTGGATCCAAGCTCTAATCATTTTCATCAACTTCCAGGAGGTATAAAGCTTATAACATGATGACTCTATGTGTTAGATCTAGTCTAGGGCTTGTTTTGGGTTTATTATGGTCCCTTGAGTCATCCTTATGAGTATGAGCTACTCTTGAAGTTTAGAATGTTAGATCTTAGCATTTATGAGGTTGTTGGTGCATAAAAATGTCATCTTGATGGGTTTTGATGAATCATGCTAGAGTTGGTGTTCATATTATGGACTTTGGTTGTTAAAAATGGGTTTTGGGTTACATTAAGACATGCAAAGGGGTAAAGTTGGCAACTTTATGGATTAAGACCTTATCTAGAGTTAGATATGAGTTTGGACGTTTTGGTCTTAAGCATTAAGTGCTTAATATGGGAAATGGACACCTGGAGCGTATGTTGGGCGCATGGATGTAACACTCCAAATCAGGTATGATGTTGCAGTCCTTGAAGTATTTATATTATATCATAAGAGAACCTCAAGTACGTTGGGCGTACCTATGAGTACGCTTAGCGTACTTGGTGAGGAGAATCGCGGAGGGGCAGCACGTACGCTGGGCGTACGTGCAAGGATGTTCAACCCTAAAATCCGGACTTGAGGCCTATATAAACACCCTTAACTCTTATGAGCCTCTCCCTTAACAACCTCCTTCACCTTCAAACGCCTCTGAAAACGCTAATATCATTTGTGAGTGCATTTTAAGCTTTAAGAGGACATTTTTGGTCCTTTTAGTGTTCATCCAAGAAGAAGAAGTTGTCAAGGAAGCATGGAGTGCCATTTGGCTTCAAGAACCTGCATATTGTCGACCTTGAGGAGCTTCTGGATGTATAAAGCTTGCACCTTTCCATCTTAATCACTAGATCTAGCTAGGGTTTTCTAGTGTTGTCCCTTTGGTTGATTTTGGACCTCCTCTTGTGAGTTAAGCAACTCCAGAGGATGAAATGGCAGATCTGAGGTCCCTTAGTCCTTTTTCTTCATATAAATGGAGTCTTGGTGGGTGTTTTGACCTCATGCATGGGTTAAGAGCTTTAAAAAGGTCTTAATGAGAGTGTTGGGAGCATATGGGACATACAAAGGCATAAAGTTGCCAACTTTATGATGGGTTATGAGCATAACATCATTCCTATGGTGTTCATGCAACCCTAATTGCTTTGATCTAGGTTTTTCTAAGTAAACATACAACATTGAATACCAAAGCAATAAACCCTAATTGACTATCATACAAAACTGGAAAGACACATATGATTAGGGTTAGAAAGTTTACCTTGATTGTTATGTAGCAATAACAATCACAATCCTTCTTGATCTTGACTTCTAAAAGCCTAGTGCCTCAAATGTTGCACCTCTAATGGAATCACAAACACTCAATGCAACAAGATGACTTGGAGAGGGAAGGAAATCAGCTAGGGTTTCTCATAAAACTCATTGGGGCCGAAAATCCTATGCAAAGGGTTCCTTATATAGCTGTGTGGGCTGCTAGGGTTTCTGAAGGAAACCCTAATTCCTGCTTAAGGCCTAAGCAGCCCATGGATTCCTTCCTTAGAGCCCTTTGGACGAAATCTTATGGGCTTCCCCATAAATTCCGTCCACTCCACTCTATGGAGTCCATCAGCCCAACTAGCTGTTGGATATAGTGTCTAAGTCCATAATTATATTTGGTATGTACTTGACTCGACCCGGCATGGTCCATTTGGGTTGCACTTCACCCGAACAATTTAT